TATGATATCCTTATTAGAGGCTGAAATGTCATGTGGGATGGAATATACTCCTTGACTTGCAGATAGTTTCCTAAAAATAAATTGAAATCACAATAATTTGATTTTCTCCTACTTTTCTAAGTTTATTCAATAAAGATTGCTTATTTGCTTATACAGTGAAATTATGAGAAGTTTTATCCTTTTGCTGATTTCCTTTTTAAGTAACCTCCTTAACAATATTACTTTTGGACTTGATGCTAGAAAGATAATAGAAACAGAGAAGGTAAAATTGGAATCTTTCTATAAATTTGAACTTTAAATAGTTGTTTAATTTTTAAAAAATAAAAACTAGTTATACATTTTCTTGTTATGTGCCAGGTACTGTTATTTACACTAGGGATATAATAAATAACAACACAAAATTTATTGTCTCTATTAAAGTTTATATTTTGAGTAGATAGTAATCAGTAAAATAAATACATGAAGTCTATAGTATGTTCTGTGGTGATAAGTATAATAGAGAAAAATGACACTCAATAGGTGGATAGATATTTGGGGAGATTAAGTTATGTCTCATGGAGAAAGAGGAAGTGAGGGCATGAACCATGTGATTATCTGGGAGTAAAGAATATTTCAGGTAGAGGCCAAGTGTTTCAATAGCTAAAACAGTCATTGAGATTGGGTTACATCTGACATATTTAAAGAGCAGTACAGATTCTGGGGTTACTGGAATGAAAGATTGATAAGGCAAGGTATGGGATGAGATCAGAAATGAAAAGTAATGGTGGATGGCAAGGGAAGCATAGATTAATATTAAAATCTTTGTTGTCATTTTAAAATACTTTAGCTTTTATTCTGAATAAGATTGGAGCTTTTAAGTGGTGGCTTTTTTTTTTTTAATTTTAAAGTCTATTTCAACTTCACCTATTTATTTTTTTTGAATGGGAATATATGTGCATTACTCATCAATAAATGCTTAATGCTTTAAATTTACAATTACCTTATTTGTGGAAATATGAAAATCATCCACCAAAGTGGAAAAAAATACAAACAAATTGTTTTATAACTCAAAATATTCAAAATATAACATTTTTATAGCAGTCAAAACTTATAACCAAGAATTTCTTAAGTTTTACAAATGGTCATTACAATTTAATTGTTTTGATTAATGCTGGGGGAAGACACCTGTGACTCAAAAATATGGTTGACTAGCAACTAGTAGTGTTCCCTTTCTTAGACTAATGCTTTATCTTTGATTATTTCATCTGTTGAACAGAAAGTTGCCCCAAATTTAAGCATTAAATTACTCTTGCCAATTGATGGTATTTATTGGTAACATTAATATTTAAAAAGTCCCAACAACAAAAATTAGAAAGTGACCCACAATTAAAACAAAGTTAGCCTAAGGGACTTTAACAGTGCAAATAATGATATTTAACATTAATATTGGGTTTTGAATAATATTTTTTTCACAAACATAGCACCTCATTAAATATTTTCACAAACATAACACCCCATTAAATATTAAACACTTTGCAATCACAGAAAGTTCCAAAGAGAATTATGGGATACAATTGAGGTAACATTGCAAGCCAAGTCTCTGGCACAATTAAGATTGGGAATGCAGTCTGCTGATTCCCAGACTCTAAGGTGAAGCTTAATGAGCTAAGGAGACCAGTTTTTGCCAGTCTTTTGGAAGGTAAGAGTTCATGCTAGCTTCGACCTATGTCCTTGCAGTAAAGGTGACAAAACGTGGTAGAACTCTGATACACAATTACTTCTTGTTATTTTTGGTACTTATGTTCTACAAAATCACTCTGCACACAAATTAGCATTAACATAGTACTGAATCATTACCGCAACTGAACATAGGAATTAGAAGTCTGTAAACAAAGTTGTAAAACTTTGGACAAATGATCAGTGTTATTGCCTTATTTTATGTGTATATCTGTTTAAAGACACCTTTTTTAAAAAATAATATAATAGTTTACTTTTACCTCATTTTGTGCATTTTTTCATCTCATTTTTAATCCCTGTGAGCTTCCCATCACCAAATCACCCATGTGCCATCACCATAGTCTGGTGCATTTCCTTCCCCCCTGTTTTTGGTCTCATTCCCCACTCCTCCCCCATAAAATGTCTCTGGTGTATAGCTGTTCATTATTACCATTATTTTCTTGCCTGGTCCGTTACTCCTGCTATGAGTGAAACCATCTGGTATTTTTCCTTTTCTTTTTGGCTTATTTCACTAAGCATGATCTTTTCCAGTTCCATCCATGTTGCTGAAAAAGGCATTTGTTTCTCTTTTTTGGTTGCTGAGTAATATTCCATTGTATATATGTACCACATCCATATATCCAGTCATCCACTTTTGGGCATTTGGGCTATTTCCAAGTCTTTCCAATTGTAAATAAAGCAGCAATAAACATGGGAGTGCAGTATCTTTTTGATCAAAATTCAAAATATATATTTTGATCAAAATTCAAAATATAGGAAGAATAATCCAAATAATTCTCATATATTTTCACCTATGTTCCCCAAATGCTAATATTTGTGACATTTATTTTATCTTTTTCTCTCTATATATGTGGTATGTAAATATGTATGCCCTTGCGTGGATATTCAAGTACATTCATGTAGTCATCATACCTGTTTTGTTTCCTTTCACTGGAATGGTCCACGTTCTTTTTTATGATTTGACTGTTTACTTTTTAGAATAGTCATGGACAGTTATTTTGTAGAATTGTCCTTAATTTGGGTTTTTTGAATCATAAGATTTAGGTTTTTTAATTTTTCACAGAAATACAATAGGAATGACATTCTAGTTTTTTTTTCAGTGCATTGTATTTTTAGGTATGTGAGATGTTTATCCTTACTGATGTTAATTTGAAATTTTTGTTATGATGTTTACTTCTCTACTGTAAAGTTATGATTTTACTTCCCTTTTAAATTAGTAAATTATGGGGAAAAACTTTGACACTATGTCAATGTGGTGTTAGTCCTCAAACTTTTTTCTGCCACTTTGCCCATGTATTGATTTTTGCCTAATTCAATTGCTTTTGTAATTGTCAAATGGTAATTTGGTACAGGTTATGCTCATGCTACTGGGATTTATTCATTCTAATTCCTCTCAGTGGATATATTAATAGATAGGAATAAAAGAATGTACAAACACATATACACACTCACGTGCATATGTGTCTACTGCCATAACTATTTAACTGTCTGTATAAAATATTGCTGTTTCAGTCCATCAACTCAGAGTTCATTCTATTACTTCCTATTTATGTATTGTGACTTATTTTTGACAGTGAAAAACCCAGTCTGCTTTTATTTGCAATTTATTTACTTATTTGTCCAATCCTAACATAACAGAAAATAATTTTACAATTGGTAACCTATGCCTCTAAAAATGAAACTTACCATTTACTTGAGTTCCTTTCACTTTGCTCAAATAATTGTTTTACAAAGTTACTTAAATTCTTCTTTTCCTCATTCCTTTTACTATGATTACATTATTCACTGGAAATAAAGTTTGGTCTCTTTTGTTCTATATCCCACTGTAAATTATTTTTATTCTGTATCTTTGTTGATTTATTTTTGTGTGAAATGTTAATGACTTCAAAAGCCTAAACTGTATGAAGCCAAGTTATTAAAGAACAACATCATCTTTAATTATTCTTCCATTTTTACAGAAAACTACAATACTATGATATTCTTTTTCATGCTTTTGTGCTTGAGCTTGTATACTGAAAATCACAATATTTCAACTTGTAGATTTCTTTCATTCTTTCAAATTGCTGCACAAGCACTTTATTATGTTTACTCAAATATTTTCTGGACAACTAATTAATTTCTGTCTTTTTCAATTATATACATAGTTGCTATAAATAACCTTGCACATATTTGTTGGTAGTTGAGATAGATCTGTCTGTTGGCAAAGTTTGTTTTCTGACTGTGATCTGTAGGAAATGGGTTCTGAGGCTAAAATAGAATAGTAGCAGAGATCTGCTTTGGGGAAGAGATTCATTTGGGTAACACGTCTTGGAAAGGATGAAAATTAAAAAAAAAAATTGAACGGTTTATTCCCTAAATCTAAATAATAATGAACAAAATGTTTTTCAATTATCATAGAAAATTGCAGCTCTGTTTTAAAATGTAAGCTTACTTACATGCTACTCATTTATAGTAATATGTAAATATTTTCTAAATGATTTTAGTGATCAAAAAATTTTAATTTATGGCATCATAATTACATCCCAGATTTATCCCATACCAAATCTAAATTTTTCTACTTGATTTTCAAGTTTTTACAGCTTAAAGTTTCTCTATCAATATGGACATTTTCTTCATTTCCTTAAAACTTACTATTTGAGCTTATCTCTCTCTTTATCTATGCAACATAACTCTGCTTATTCTTGATTTTGCTCTGGATTCTACTTCACGAAATTATGGAATCGATATAGAGGAATGTTTTGTCAAATGTTGAATTTCCAATGTTTAATGCAGGTCCTGGCAGTGATCAGTTAATAATAAGGGAGAAAAGCAAAAAAGGTAGATGAGATGGAGGAATTTTGTTTGTTCTCTTTCTGAACATGCCATTTCTTTTAAGGTCTGTTTCCTCATTAAAATCTCTGTTGCCATTATTTTTATTGATTTCGAAAATAAGCACTTCAAAATATAAAATTTGCAAACTCCTTTTTTTTTTTTTTGGTTATATAGTTTTATGTATATTGTTCCAGTTTGGTATAAGCTCTTTGATCATGAGAAGGATCATGTATCTTTACTATTTTATAGAAGATTGAATATTATCCTTTATTGACCAGTTACTTTTATAGCAGACTCTATGCAGACTACTGACATAAATAGTATAGTACTTTGTGTGGAATTGAGCACTTGTTTGTTTAATAAGCTTTAATAAGTTGTGTGAAACAACATAAAAATTGGTCACCCAGTTGACACATAGTGAAGAAAATGTTTTTTAATGATCTGATGTTAATTTTTCTCAATGTTTTCTTCAGGAAAAGAAACAGAAAAGGCCAAGGAGCGTTATGATAAAGCCACAACGAAACTACACATGTTGCATAATCAGTATGTGTTGGCATTGAAAGGGGCCCAACTTCATCAGAATCAGTATTATGACACCACACTTCCTTTGCTTTTGGATTCCCTGCAAAAGATGCAAGAAGAAATGATAAAAGCACTGTAAGATCTATTTCCTGTTGGACATAGAGCCATTTATAAAATGACTTTAATTTTAAGCTTTTATTAATAGTTCAATTTGGCAAGCTGCATTACTGACTTAGCCATAGGATCTTTGTTTTACTTTGGACCTTCATGATGTTCTCTTCTAGTGACCCTTCATTTTTTGTTCCTCTCCAAAACAAAATCCTGAAATGGCTATCCCTTGTATTTTGTGTTTTATTCCAGTTAGCTGGATAGTTGAATGCAAACAGTTGTCAACTGTTAATAAGTAGATAGCTGTATCCAGAAAGTTGAGTGTTTGAATTGTGAGCAACTGGGAAGTATAAAAGTAAAACATTTTTTCAAAAGTTTCTTTTCCAGCTTCTTATTGACTGAGATTCATACCAACAAATATTTTCCATAGTTCTCCTATATACAAAACATATAACCTAGTATTTATCTAGGAGTTACAAGAGGATTTAGAGATAAATGGGTCATAACTTTTGTCTTCAAATAACTTACAGTATATTTTGGTCTGAGTCAAATACATACATATTTGCCACACACACTGATGCAAAAATAGCAGAGAAGCATAAGCCATCTTTAAGCAGCCTTCATCTAACTTTCACATTTAAAAGGGAAAACAATAGTGTTTTTAGTCAACCTGATTATATTAACTTTTAAGGGCATGGTAAATAGTGAAATGTCTACTTAAAGTGTTCAATTCATAATCTTTAGTTATCTTTACTTTCAATTACATATTGTAGTTGTAGAAATATTTCCTTTCCTACTTTTACTTCATGATTCATTATATTTTCCACTCTTCACATGATCCTTTAATAATAGTGTCTTCTTTATAACTAAACTATCCTTTTGAAGCATATAATAGTTTCCTATAGCATGTAATCTTTATAATTAGTTTTATTATATCTAACTTTAAAAAAAAATCAGACATGATGAGATCATTGAAATTGGATCCTATGTTGCAAGTAATTCATGCAACATCAGGGGATTTCTCTCATCATTTGACTTAAGGGTTATTATGTACATTACATTTTTATGATGACTACCTAGATGGGCTCATTTACATCAGTATCATTCTGAGTTCATTTATGATATATAAACTTAGAAGTATTTACTAAATTTGTACTAAGTATATACTGTCTTCCCTGTTTCCAAAAATAGTATCTGTCAGGTGATTTCTATAATAATTCCAAATTCTTTTATTATAATTTACTACAAAGCCAGTATTGTGTGAAATAGTATAAGCCTATTTTTTTATTACCCTGATAGAATTTTGCCATTTAAAATAAAGTTATCAAACAGATGTTTGTAATAAAGGAGATTTTGTAACATTTGCTTTTTTTTTGAGTGAGGATTTAGAAATGAAAAACTAACTTATGTCTTATATTATTTTTGGCATAGGCAGAACTCAGATTGTCTGTATACACTCATTGAGGCCACTAATGAGTAACGTTATGTTTTTACAGAATACTGTAGCTTAAATTGTAAATTGGGTCTTTTGAATTTATTAAATAAAATTAATAACTTTTATGATATTTTTGCTATTGACTAGAAGTTAAGAGAAGGAATTTATATATTGTTGAGAGTATAGAACTAGTTGAACCCATTTATTAAATATGCAGAAAAAAAAGCAGCCCAAGAATAAGAGAAGACCAAGAGATTGGGCATGTGAGGAAGTGGAAGATTGTGGACAGAAACAATAAAGAAACAGGAGCTGATCTACAAGTCCATGTTATGTAAACCAGCATTTCTCTTATACTGTTTAATACAAAGGGATCAGTACTGACCTCACATTTTGTATATATTAAACATACATTTGAAAAGGAAGTGCATTATTCTAGATATTTTGTAATTATTATATCAAATGTAAATTTTGGGGGCTTCCCTGGTGGCATAGGAGTTGAAGTCTTAGTGCTGTCAATGTAAATTGTTAACCTATAAATTGGTATAATCCCTTCACTTCACTATCCAGATACATGAAGTAAGGTGGTTTATGAATCTTTTTTATGTCTACGTCTCTTGTAAGACTTTAATATGATGTACTTTTTTTTGTTTATTCTCAGAAAAGGTATATTTGAGGAATACAGCCAGATAACCAGTCTTGTTACAGAGGAAATAGTGAATGTCCATAAAGAGATTCAACTGTCGGTTGAACAGATAGATCCTAGTACAGAATATAGTAATTTCATAGATGTTAACAGGTATGTGTAAAATTTTCATTCTTCACTATTTATGACAGTATGAGTTTTTTTCTTACTGCAGTATTTAGCTAAATTAAAAAAAGAAATATTTAAGAGTTTGTCAGGATATAGGATATTTCAAATTTGTTTGCTTTTAATTATTTTCAAAAATGATAGCTATTTAATATGTGTGTGATCTTGAAAGATTTTTCACTTGCTGTTTTGTTGTTTAAATCCATGAGATGATATCTTTATAACATTTATATAATAATGATACTGTGCCATTACATGTATATTAAATGTTGTGTGATATATCATTTACTTTTTTATGTATGCATCGTCTTATTATAATTGTGACAAGAAGAAAAAGCTAACACCCACATTCTACAAATGAGGAATCTAAGGCTTAAGCTACATGAGTGAATTTTTGTTGTGTGGAGTTTAATTTGACTTATTTTGTGTTTATTTTGTTAATGTAATTTTGGATAGGAAAAATATATTCTGACTTTGGTGTGTACTACAATGCATTATCATTGTACATTCATATTGATCAGAATTATTTTTCATACTTTCATAGAACAACAGCTGCAAAAGATCAAGAAATTGAGTTTGATACATCCTTACTAGAAGAAAATGAAAATCTTCAGGCAAATGAAATCATGTGGAATAACTTAACAGCAGAAGGTTTACAAGTAATGTAAGTGTTTAAAAAATAATTTTTCTTCATTGTTATATATGCTTTGCCATCTTATCTTTTGAAAATTTACCTCAAATCATTTATACAAAAGTATCCATCTAATATAATTGAACAATCTCTTTTCTATTATTTGATAACATTGTAGTGCCACAAATCTCTAATAAGATCCGAACTGGTTCTTGAAAGCAGTTTAATGTCTTTAAAGATGACTAAATGGGGGACTGATTAGGATGAAGGATTGATGATCATGTTACATTGATTATTGATGAGATGTTGAGACATAGTCGTGTCCTACAGCAGAGTTTTTTCCCCTAAAAGTCATATTAGGATTATGATAGCTGCCTCCAGGACTTTGAAGCCTGCATAGGAATCTCTCTTTTTCTTTAATTATAATGCTGCACGGTTAGTTATCTCTCTGCTTCTGGTTCTTGCTCTGGATTATTTTATCTGTAGGGGAAATTTGGCAGTATTTGCAGAACATTTTTCTTATCAGGTGGAAAGGTGATTACTGATTTCTAGTGAGTAGGGGACATGAATAACTGCTAAATATTCCACAGCACAGTCCCCTACAAGAAAAAGAAGAAAATGTCAACTGGGTATAAAACACTTGTGCAGTGAGAAATACCATTTCTTTCTTCTTGTGCTGCTTAATGAATTCATGTAACACAGATTATATTTTTGTTACTATTATGTTGCTCACAAATAATTTATTCATTCAAATATATTTGCTGTATTTAAGATAGCAAGACTTAATAGCATCAGGGAATTTACACTGAAATTAATCATGTAATTTTAGTAAGCATCAAGAAAAAATGAGCAGATAGATATTGGAGTACAATATGGTTAAGTTAAAAATAGCTATACTGGGCCTTTCTGCTGGTACAGGTGGTTAAATCTCAGCATTGTGAAGCTATTCACAGCCACTGTAGCATGAGTTCAAATCCTAACCAGGGTGCTAACCCAATGGTGCAGCACAATGCTCCTATTTCCTCAGTATATTTCACTGGATCCACCTGTTGTGCTCCCCACTCCATCTCTGGTGAATGTGCTCACCCTCCTATACCTCAGATTTACACCCCAGCTCTTGTATGAATAAATAAATAAGTCTTTAAAAATATATAGTATTACCTGTTTTATGTTAATGGAAAATAGGAGGGTTTTGTGACCAAATAATTTGTTACATTGCTTTTTTAGTGTGTAATGAGAGCAAAACTAGTTATTCTCATAAATCATTGTTTCTTAATTTAGGTGATGAAGCAATGAACAAAAATGTAATAAAATATAATAAGTCTGATAATATGATAGGAAGGTTAATTGCCTACATCTCACTGAGGCAAAACTTTAGCTATATTTTATTGAACAGTGTCTGTATTTAAAATGTGAGTTTAAGAGTGGGTTTTCCTTAAGAAATGTATTTCAAGAATGAGTAATTCAGTGTGTCTGTTGACAGTGTTACAATTAGGTAACTCCATTAAAACCTACATTTATTATTATTTTTATGTAATGTATGAAGAAATTCATTCTCTTAGCCATAAATTAGTGCTTCAAAGTTAAATAAACACCTACTCTGAATCATTAATCATGTGTTGTTGATTTTATTCAAATATTATGTTTAAAGAAGTAAATAGGACAATATGAAGATCCTTCTTGGAAAAATAAATATAACTTATCTGTTAACCTGGGACAATTAAAGACATGGAAATTTTAGAAAAAGGAAGCTATTTTTTATCTAATAGTATTATAAAGATTAAATAATTTGCTAATACTCAGTTTTGCATATGGTTTTGAAAATAAGCACTCCTAAGAGACTTATAAAAAAAAACGTAAGATTGCTACATATCTACATGTTGAGGTGTGAAGCTGTACTCCCCAAATTATGTGTTATATAAATGAATGGTAGATCAGTAAAACTTGATTAAACATGTAAAAACATCAATTAGAGTAACTTTTGGAGAATAATTTAACAATGTTTATTAAAATGAACCTTGCACATAACCTTGACATAAAAACCCTACATCTAGGACTTTAGCTTACAAGTGTGCAGAGGTATTATTAGGTATGTTGTCTGTGCCTGAATGGACAGATTATTTGTTTCATGCCTCATTTTCCTCAAATATGAAATATTAAGAATAATGGCACCTACCTCATTGTCATCATGAATATTGTATACTAAGTGTAGAGTACTTATTGTAGTCCCTCACAAATATTAAGTTCTGTGTTTGGTTTTTGTTGTTTTCTTGTAATTGTTTGGGGAGATTTTATTGACTAAGGATGGTAAATGTGATGCTTAGGTTTCTGAGGTGTCTGTGGATATACTTGATATTTGAAAAAAATAGTTATGTCAAAATGGGTTAAAGAAGGGCCCTCCCTGGTGGTGCAGCGGTTTAAAGCACAGCACTAAGAAGCTTAAGCCACTTCCACATGAGTTGAATCCCCTCCTGCCCTGGAGGAGATCCACACGCTGAGGCAGACCTCTCCTGACCTGCCCACTGCTCCCTTCAGCAGTGTGCTTTGTCCGACCGCCTGTTCTGCTCCCCACTCTGTCTCTGATGAGTCCTCTCACCCTCTGCATCTCTGGCCTGTACCCCAGTTCTGTATGAATAAATAAAATAAATCTTTAAAAAAATATAGGTAAAGAAAATTAAGTTAAGATGTAAGATATTATGTTACCTTCATTACTTGTTAAATCTAGTATACACAAAATTCAGTATAGTCAAAAATATTTTCAGATTTTAAGATAATTTGTAGGTTTTATTTTCATTATTTTAATTTTTTAAAAAGATTTATTTATGTATACAAGTCCTGGGGTACAGCTCAGAGCTACAGGGAATGTGAGAGGACTCATCAGAAATAGAGTGGGAGGCAGATAGGCCAAAATATACAGCTCAGGAGAGGTCTGCCACGCCATGTGGGTCACTTCCCTGACCGGGGATCAAACTCATGGTGCAGTGGCTGCAGATAGCTTCAATGTCCTGTCCTTTATACCCTTTGGCCACCAGGGAGGCCCCTTAATTTTCTTACTTTAATGTCTGCATATGAATGAGGGTTTGAGAAATTATACACACACACACACACACACACACACACATTATTTGGATAAAACCAAGGTCTATTAGAGTCTCATAACTGTCTCTTTGTTTTGGCAAACAATGGAAAAACCCTAAATGTTTACTACTAAGGTTTTGTTAAATGAATGATGATATTTCCATGCTATATACACAATTTTCCATGTTTTTCAGGTTTTAGAAAGAAAAAGATTTATGTATATGCTTGTATAAGAATATATGGAAATGTATGATAAGGAGAAAATTCAAGTTAAATGATGATATTAATTGATTAAATCTATTAATTAAAAAAAGTGTGTGGAGTGTGTGTGTGTAACATATCTTGGAATCAAGATGAATGGAAGGGGTAAGCAGGACCAGTATTTATAATAATGTTAAATAAATGTGGTTTTACTTATCTACTCTTTCCAATTTTACTTTTAGCTTGAGTCACTCTAAGATATTTATATCTCCTCCATTTGTGTCATTTCCTCATGCTTTCACTAAATGTTTGTTCCTAAATCACATTGCTTTACATGGTATAGAATAGAATATTCTCAGTAAGAATATTTGAAAATGCTGTTTTTTTATGTCTTTTTCTGTATTTTTGCTTAGCTCATCTAAGAGGTCTAGTACTTTATTAAGAAATGGTATTACAGAAAACTAGAGAAGTACATTTCTTTTTTTTTTTTGGCAATCATTTATGTTTGTTTAAGTGATAAGCATCAGTATCACTTGTGAAAGATTACATCTGTTTGGAAGTGAGAATCATTCATTTTTAACTCCTGTAAGTAGGAGTCATGTTGGCAGTCTACCAGAAAGCTGATTAGTAGTGACTAAGAAACAAAGACAAACTGCTAGACTGCATTTTTCTTGGACTTCTGAAAATTCTTGGCTCGGTATTAGATGTTGTAAATGATTAATTAACATCTTTGTTAAATGGGTGGGTTAATTGTTTTATGTAAATATTTTAGGGACTTTCTGAACAGCAGCTCTCATCTCCAGTTTCATGTTAACATTACTATCACTATGTTAGTAGTTTCAATGAGGCAACTTACGGATAGCAAGTAATCCCCAAATGATGTGAACATTAACATGTCTGCCAAAAGAGGAATTTTTGTTAACTCTAATAAAATAGTAAAGAACTTAGGTCCTGTTTAGCTCTTTTGTTTACTCATTTTCTCATTTTAAGTTAAGTTTCTTTATTTTAAGTTGTTACTGCCTATCAGTAGGAAATGTACTTGAATTCAAGAATAATTGTATTTCTAAAAATAACCTCATGTCTCATATTTCCTAATATATTAATAAAAACTTAGTCATAATGTGTTTAGTTTTCAGAGTGGAATATAAATAGAATCTCCTAATTTCTTGTATCAGCAACACTGTACTGTCAATGAAACAGGAGTTGTGGAACAGGCTGGACATTTCAGGATGCTGCTCTATGAGCAAAATATTGACTTTTTTATTGATAGAATAATTATACAGCATCCATTATCTGGTATAGGAGATGAAGAGAAAGAGTTGGTGAAAACTGAAAATGTGCTTGTGTCATCTAGGGCTTCAGTGGTGGTGAATCTGCTGACCAGGTATTTTTTATATGCTTTTTGACCTGGTATTGTAATGGAAACCATACCCCAGACCTCCACCTATTGTTCCAGTCTTATCAACAAGGCATCCAGTCCTACTGATCAGTCCTTGGGCATAAAGTCACACATCAGTCAGTGGCCCTGCAGTTATTCCCAGCCTTACCTCCTGATATATACCCATTGTCCCCAGGGCAATTCATAGTCCTTCTCTTGTTTATCTTGAAAGGAGCTTTGTAGGGTCTGGTATACTACTTTTTTTTTCCTTTTGGTAGAATATACTTTTTTTTTCCCCAATTAATCTTACTTTTTAAAAATAATATAAGTTTATTTTTACATCATTTTCTGCATTTTTCCATCTCCGTTGTAGTCC